GACCACATAATTTTTAATATTGCGAATCAAGAACGGTACTTTTCGAATGACCGATTAATATTGGCTAGATTTGGCCAATTTTTTGTAAATCATGTCGATACAGTATCGGTATTGTTATATTTATTAATACTGTATATGTATATAAATACTGATTCCCTTTTACTTTATCATTTTTTCAAAATTTTCTAAAAAAAAAAAAAAAAATGGACGTCAATTCTCTTTTTAACGTCAAGGATAAAATTGTATTGGTTACTGGTGGATCACGCGGGTAATTTTCTCAAAAGAAAAGTTTAAAATTTATCATTCAAAATGTTTAATTTTTGAAAATTATCCACACATTAATAAAGGATCGGTCTGATGATAGCAGGAGGTTTTATAATTAATGGAGCTACTGTTTATATTTCTTCGAGATCTGTTAATGCTTGTGATCAAATTGCCAAAGAATTGACTGCAGAAGGTGCCTTTTCAATGCCTTACTTAATGCTTTATTCAGATTAATAAAAACGTTTATATTTTAATCAATGCTAATTTTGATAGGCCCTGGTAAAGCGATTAGTTTACCAGCTGATTTACAAAAATTGGATGAATGTAAAAGAATAATTAATGAAATTGCGAAACATGAAGGAAGTAAGTTTAACTTTGAAAATCAATATTATTTACTTTTTGAATTAAACATGTAATATTCAATTGTCTTGCAAAAAAAGAATTACACATTTTAGTTAATAATGCCGGTGCGACTTGGGGTGCTCCATTTGAAGAATATCCTGAAGAAGCTTTTGAGGTTTATATAATGTCATCCTACTACTTACATAGTGAGTTCTCCTTACTAATATCTAAATCAATTTTTCATAATTACCATAAAAGAAAATTATGAATTTGAATGTCAAGCGTGTTTTTAGTCTAACACAAGCGTATGTATGTTCTAATTAATGTTATATGTTATAAATGCGATACTATTCGAGTCAAAAATAATGTATTAACTGAAAGTTTTAATTTTATCTCTCAATTCAGCGCGTTGCCCTTACTAGAAAAAGCTAGTACGCAACATGATCCTGCAAGAGTAATTAACATCGGTTCAATCGATGGTAATATCATTTTCTCATCATTTTCTTAAAACTTAATAAACTAACAATATTCAAAATAGGCGAAAGTGTTCCGTTTCTAGAAAGCTACGCTTATTCGGCCTCAAAAGCCGCACTTCATCATCTAACTAGAGTTCTAGCTGGTAATCTCTCACAACGTAATGTAACCTTCAATACGATAGCTCCTGGTCCATTTGAATCAAAAATGATGGCCGTAACCCTAAAAACTTATGGTGAAGTGTTTAAAAGTATAATCCCATTAGGTAGAATTGGGAGTCCAGAAGATATAGTAGGGACTTGCATCTATTTATGTAGTAGGGCTGGTGCTTATACTAATGGTGCTATGATTTCGGTTGATGGTGGATACTTAAGTAGTAAGCCTTCGAAGTTGTGAAAATTTTTTTGATTAACCAAATAGATTAAATTAGGGGTTAGACCCACTCAAAAAAACCCTTACTCAGGTTAACCATCATTTAGACCTTTTAGTTGTCCAGGTAACCCGGTTCACCCGGTAGAATATTTATCAAACACATCGATTAATAAATGATCTTACATCCATTCATATTTATGTGATAAAATAAGCCTAAAATATTAAACACAATCCAAATACAAATCTGGAAATCATAAGTGGCGCCAAACGAAAACCCAAATCTTAACGTACTGTAGAAGATACTAATGAAATTTATCGAATACTCAAAAAATTATAAGTTTTCGCCAGCATCACTCACATATAAAATAATTCCATGGTGAAGCCGCAGATTAGAGGTCTTACCCGGGTCGGTAAATTTGACGGGTCATGTGGGTTGCGGGTCAAAATTGAGCTGACCCGGGTCAGATAGGCTATTGAATATCAATAAAATGTCGCTAAAAAAAACAAACTTCGGTTAGAACCTGAATACATTTTTTATAAATACGGATATATATTATTTATAATCTGAGTATAATTTACAATCTGGACTTATATAAATTTTTAAAACGTTCTTAGCATTACATATTTTTTTAGTTTATCATAAATCAGACTTATCTACTGCTTTAAATTGAAAAAAATAGATTAAAAAATAAATAAATAAATTGAAAAAAAATAAATTAAAAAAGTAAAAATAAAAATAATATAACACTTCACAATTTAGCTAACCACAATATGTTAAAATGTCCTTTTATAAATTAACTATACAACACACTCTCTTTTACTGCATTCACCACATTCCTGGTACTTACCGGTACTACATTCCTAGTATTTTGCTATGCTTTACTTAAGATATCCACTTCCAGATTTTCCTCTGCAACACTCATAATTGTATATTTCTTAATTATTATCCTAAATAAGTGCTGCAGAATGGGAGCCTGGAAGTGGAAATTCAAGCTGTTTTAAAGTTTACATACAAGTAATAGGCAGACAAGGAGGCATCCATATTTAACGTTAAATGATGTTTGTAGTACCAGATGCATCCCGATGCAATATAAGCATACCACTATGCCTAATATAGAGCGAGGTTGGTAAAGCCATGATTTTCAAAAAAACTGTTGGTTACTAACTAATAAACGTACAAACGCGTACTCGTTATACGCTCTTTCTGTAAGAGCTACTTTTTTTTTTTTATAAACTTTTATTTATATTTTCTTTTGCTGTAATAATGGAATAGTTCCAGTAACTAATAAAACTATACTTCAATCTAATTTACACATTTCTATACCCACACCTACAAATACTTAGTGATCCGTGATTACATGTTATTTTCACATTTACATATAGATCTGGTGCTTTGAGTATTTAAGAGTTAAGGTATTTTCACATACATATAGATTCGGTGCTTTGAGTATTTAAGAGTTAAGATATTTTTACATTTATATATAGATCCGGTGCTTTTAGTATTTAAGAGTTAAGATATTTTCACATTTATTTATGAATCTGGTGCTTTTAGTATTTAAGAGTTAAGGTATTTTTACATTTATTTATGAATCCGGTGCTTTTAGTATTTAAGAGTTAAGGATCTGGTGTTTTAGGTTTCACTTCGTAGTTTTTGGCGTCATCGTTTAGGTGCTCTTACAAATATAGATTTCGTCGTTTGGGTGGTTCTGCCACATCGTCGCTTTACTGGAGCCTTAGAGTTATTTTTGGTGTTACCGTTAATATGGATCTCATTACTTGGGGTGGTTTTATGCAGTCGCTTTACTGAAGTCTTCTGTTGCTCTGGGTTTCGTCGCTTCTGGTGTTCTTGTGGCTGTAGATTTTGCCGCTTGTGGTT